TAATAGCTTAATACACATACAATGAAATGTGCAAAAATCCAAAAAAATAACCAAAAGGGAATCTAGGGCATGTCAATGGATCATTACTCCGGACAGAAAGGTTATTTATATGCAAATTAAGTAAAAAAGAAATACAGAATGGCCGGTTGTTAGTTGTGTATAAATTAATCATTGATACATATACAAGCTTCATAACTAACAAGTTATCAAATTCCTGTATATGCTGACATTTCAATTAAAAAACTAGTTTACATATCAAATTAACATACTAAGTTTCAAGAACTATAAACTAGAGTAGATGGGATTAGTGTTTGATTAAATGAAGTATGAAGAAGCTAGAGAAAAGAAATGTAAACCATGCAGCTCACTCAAGAAGGAAGTATCTTCACTTCTCCAAATACTGCTGCTGAAGGATTTTGATCTTCTGTTATGGATAGTAACTTGACTTGGCAAAGTGAAATTCATACTGAAAATTTGACTTTGATCTTCTAAGGCTTGATCAATTACTAGAACCGTTGAATTTCTTAATTGACCTTACAAAAACCAATGATCCGTGGTTCTACACCATGCAGTCATTTGTCCCATGAGTCATGCCAAGATCAGAATAGATTTCATGAGAGGTTTAGCAGATGCTCTTTCCACAAATTCAAGCAGATCTTTGAGTCTTTGGACTAATAATAATGTATGTTCTATATTCCTTCCCCTCTATAAGAAGTTTACCAATTTTCTTGGACAAGAATGATTCCAGAAAACTGATATATAGATACTTATGCCTTTAACTTTTCCATTTATTTTTCTGTCAATATCTCCAATGCATAAAAGCAACAAATGCAAAATATTAAACATTTCACTTTTTTGGTTGGTTGTCACAATCTTCAGGCACCTTAGTACTCCTGCTTCAATCATAAGTTACCTGAAAAGCAGTTTGCAACAATGGTACTGGTAATGATCAGGTTTTGAAACCATCGTTTAGCATCCACAATGTCCAAGTCGTGTCTGATTATTCAATTTAAACTTTTAGATCTAGCAAAACAAAAAAAATCTGAAACGAACATCTCTGTTATGTTATTTTCTGTTCTCCCTATCACGTGCCCCAGGAAAACTAGTGCTTTTAGCGTTCAATTCGTTCTTCTTCCCAAACCTGTTACATTTCCTATCATCCACCTTTTTTCTCCCGAGGTCAAGTTTTTCTTGCCCCAAACAAAAACCCTTCCTTCAATCGATGCTCATGTATTTCCCCCTCTCTCACGTAATAAAAAATAAAAAAGAATACCGACATTAAATAGGCAAATCAAAGTGGACAATCATCAATCCACACGCAAGACACACGTTAGAAGCAAATCCACATGCATCGGGTAGCTCGGCTGCCCAAATCGGTGCCAGATCAAGAAAGAGAACACCGCAAAGAGGGGAAATATAAATTAGGGCTAAATCCACGGCTAGGCTTCAGAGAATCCAGCTCTTACCCCCATTGAACGGTGAGCGACTCGTAATCCCAGTAATCCTTGGGCCGGAGAACGTTAACGTCGGTATATACCCGGGCTTTCGACATGGCAGCGCAAAGGCCTCACGTCGGTATATACCCGGCCTCCTCCTCGTCCTCCGAAGACCTTGCCGATCGCAAAGGCGAGAGGCAAATCGGGAGGAGAGGGGAAATCTTAACAGCGATCAAGTGTAGCTTGCACAAGCGGGGGGCAAAAACGAAGAGTAAAGGGAGAGGGCGACGGCGAACCGAACACGAGAGCTAGGGGAAGGCCAATGTGGGCGCCGGTGGGTGCGACCCACGGAATCCAAAGCTGGGATCGCTAGGATGGCTCGCCCTCGCTAAGATTCCCGCATGTGACTCGTTCACGGATGAGCCGTGCCGAGCCGATAAAAATCTGGACCGGTCCTGCGGTTTGATTCGAGTTGAACCCAAACCGAACTCAGTGCAAGCTAATTGCGACTTGGCAAACCCACCCTGCGCGGGACCCATTTTAAGTCACCAGACGCCGAAACGAAAGGGACCAAAAATAAACACCGCTTTCGGCACCCACGAAGAAATCAACGATAACGCCCTCGTCGGCACATTGGAATGATGGGATTAACGGTGGTGATCGTCTGATGAGTTGGGTTTGTTTTGTGGGCTGCGTTTGGGAAGTAACCAGCAATTCTAAAACGGAACCCCCATGCGCCAATCACGAGATCGAGAAGGTAATCGCCGGGAACGCCGTACCACGCGCCTCTGTCCTCCTCCTCGTCTCGCCCTCCTCCCTTTCCGCTTCCTGTTCCACCACCTACGGGCTCCGCTCTCCGGCGACCTCTTCGAGCCCTCATTGCCGCAAGCGAGGTCTTATACGCAATCCCATGTTCTCTCCTCCAATCTCAGGAGGTGGTCTCGCCCTCCGCTTCCACCGCTTCTTCTGCGAGATCCTCTCGGAATGAGTTCGTAAATTGGTATCTTGACATGATCGATCGAGGAACGCCCGGTTCGATCAATGCCGGGGCCGTATTCACCTCCGTTGACATCTCGTTATTGCGCGACCTGCCCCCCATTTATCCATTCCCGAGTAAGCTTGCATTTTTTCGGTGGTTTCTTGTTAATTTTGGTTCAGTATCTTAAAAGTTAGGTTCTTTTTTAAGATTTTCGATGTCTGCAAGAATTCTGAATCGTGTAGCGCACTCAATAGTTCTTGATCTTGAGCTTTAAAGGGAGGTGCGGTTGATAGAGTATCTCTTTAGGATTTCAGGGTTTAGTTTGTAAAGCTAATAGCCAGGAAGGTGTCAGGTATCTTAGCTGGTAAAGACTTTGACAGTTTATTATAAATTCTCGACTCGAATCTCATCTTTACCAATTACCTTTAGCAAAAGAACAAGACAAAAAAGAAAGAAACAGTAAGGTTTTCAATTTCAAAAGATACCGCCTGCCACCGGGTGATACCATTAATTGGGGCTGTTTCCGCCTTATTATCACGTGAAATCAATCAGTGATGGTCGATTTCGATCGTCGTCACCCGCTACATGGCAATATTAGCGGTTAGCTGAAGAAGAGGGAGAAGGAAAAAGACGGAGAAGAAAAGGGAGAACCTGTAGATCCGGCACCACTCTCCCTCGACGATCCCGATCCGTCACCGACCTCCCTCACCAAGCACCATAGATGAGATGTCGCTTCCTTCTTGCCTGAGGCGACGAGGCCTTGGCGTCGTCGGCAACTTCTCCTCATCCGCACGGGGAGAAGAAGCCTCGGTGACGTCGCCCTCATATATATATATATATATATATATATATATATATATATATATATATATATATATATATACACATACACATACACATACACATATACATATATATATGTACGGTATAAAATTGTGAACCTTGATTCAAAGCCTAAAATTAGGATTATTTGAATGGTGGACTATGAATAGAATACTAGAGCCTATGAATATCTGTATGGTGGACTTGATTTTACCTGAGATGTTGAAATTTTGAACTCGCAAGTCGCAACCATCTATGTGTGGGAGATACCCTTTCTTATTTTGTGCCGAAGCATTTGTAATGCACAAGCTGAAACAGCTGAAATCTTGCATGTTAATGTCTTATATCAGATAGTGAATGTGAAATTATAGCATGAATTGTTGTGACTCAGATACTGATTGGTAACCACATACTAGAAAATATCGGAAGAAAATGCGACTGATGATCAGGCTTCAATTTTGCTTTGCTTCTGTGACAGCAAGGCTTCAGTGATTGTCTAGAATCTAGATAACAAGGCTTCTGAAGTAGAACATTATGCTTTCTCCTTTCTCATATGATTACAGTGAGCAGCTGAATTATGATTTGTATCAAGAGATTCAAAGCTTTGCTTCGGAATTATCTTTATTTCACATAGTTTAACTTGTCTTTTAAGCTCCATTCTAACTAACTCAATTCAGTAGGTTTTCTTTTTAAATTTGGAATGCAGGAACATTAAATGATATTCTTTCTGGTAATTTTTTAATTCATATATCATTTTTTTACTTCATTCTTGTTTCTATGGATTACATATCTCATTTACATGGCAAGCTTGCAGAAAGTAAGCATTCAAAAACAATTGGCTAACTCCCTTCAGAATTTTCTGCTGTCAGTTGTATTCTCCAAAATTTTGCAAGATGCTCAGATAGTAGACTTTAGATATGGTATGTTTAGCAACATCAGTTTCTCTATTTGTATTGTCAAGGATAATGCCTTCAGAAAAGTTGTAAATAGGATTAAAGAAATATAATTTAGGTTTTGATATCATTGTTATTACATGTAAACTTGAAGTTAGGAATTACGAGTTCTTTTTTCTGTAACAGTATGGTCCTTGATGCTTCTTATACTGCTGCATCATAAGTATTTTGCTGGTATATGTGGAATACATTTTGATTTAATATTTTCACTATGACAGGAAATTGATAATACTGTTCTTAAGGTGGGTTTTCCATGTAATCAGTCTGATATGAATTGGCCTTTAGATTATGAAAACAAGGCCTTGCCTCTGAATGATAAATAAGGAAATCTGTTCAAATTTTGTAGAAGGATTCCTTATCAAAGAGCAGTAGAGCACTCAGTGGGCTTATGACTTTATCTTAGTAATTAGAGAGAGAGAAAGAGAGAGAGAGAGAGAGAGAGAGAGAGAGAGAGAGAGCTGTGCCTTTCTCTGGTTCTTCTTATGGCAGTGGAGAGAAGTAGTTTCTTCTCAGATTGCACAGGCATGGGTGCAGTTTGATGATGAAAATTTCTTGTTATTCTTCAATTATTCCTCCATTTTAGTAAAAGAAGAGCAAGATTGGTAGATTACTTTGCATGTCTGGTTGGGCAATATATGATTTTTTCTCCTAATTCAGGATAGCACTTTGCTAAATCAATTAGAGATATGATCTTCTGTATGCTTGCATGCATTAATATTATTACAAGTACCAAATAATGACAATATGTTTCACTTTCATAGTTTGAAGCTTTTGGATAAATGTCACAACAAGTTTGAAAAGTAATGCATATTGTAATATATAACTTGCTGCTGGATTAGAATTTGTTGACTGCCATATCAATTTTGTATCTTGCTAGATACCAAGACTGCAGAAAAAAATTTCTGAAGAAACATGTTCCTTGATCTGTCCATTGACTCTAAATTGAATCTAAATTGAAAATGCAATTCTGTATGCAAAGTATGCTTGGACAAATGCATGCATATTTGGTAGCCCCTGCATCCTGCTTCTTCAGAATAGTTTGTCATTTGAAAGTTGCTGGTGATTGAGAGATCGATAGGTTTTAAATCATCCAATAAACAACTTAGTACATCATTTAGAGAATGTACTTCTAGCATTGATAATAGTTTAAGCTGCTAAGGCCTTCTAGTTCCAATTATAACGTGCATCTCTGCTCTGTTAATTCTAGCTTATTGTCTTTTCTGCTTATACAGATTCACTGCTCACCATCTTCAACTCTACAGGGCAGTTTCCCATCTAAATTGGTTGTCTCTGACAACCACAAATGATATCTCATTGCTTTGCATAAAGCAATCATGTCATGTTCATGCCCAAACATTGAGAAAACCAAGTACGCTGTTTTACACCATCCTGTCTCATTTGTTCCTCAATCTTGAATCCACTATGCCTATCATGATTGAACCTCATATCAATCTCAGGAACCTGGAACAGTCCTGATCTGTTGCCGTTTTGTTTTGTAGTTCCAGACTGTGTTGAGGATGAAGAAAAACTAGATCCACAATCTGAAGCAGTTGATGTTTCTTTTCGTCGGGTGCTGCTTCCGGTTGCAAGCGTCAGCTCTAAGTCGCTTTCCTGGTAAGTCTCCAACACCACATTTCTATGTTGCTTTCCACTGAATTGTTCTGCTGGCAGCTCCAGATCAAGTGCCCTGCAATGTTCGTCTAGTTGGATCGGCTTGTTGGTGTTCTTCATTTCTCTCATCAGCAGGTGCTGAACTTGGTATAGACGGTGGAGTTCATGCACCTGGATCAGGCAGCCGATAGAATGGGGTCAGCAGTAGTTTCCTCATGGCGTGTCCGAATTGAAGGCACAAGAAGCTACCTGTTGTCGAAAGGCAGTTTCCTGCTTCAAGATGGCCATCTTCAAGTATTCTTTGTCATGCTGCTTCATGTATCTCCCCATTGGCCTTCAAATTCTATCTTCTGATGTCTTCAGAGTGGTGTTGTGGTGCTTTGGCAAGTTAAAGCCACAAGATCATGCATCCCTGCTTTCCCTGCCTTCTCAGTATCTTGTCTTGCAATCAAATTCACTACTGTGGTTGTTCTGTTGAATTGAATTTGACTGCCAAAGGTGATCAACTTTCAACCAACGAAGCTACTGTTATTTTTTATCGAATTCGTATATAAGCATACATGGAGAAAATAATTCAATTAATATGCATGCCTTATGCAGTTTTTTGACATGCAATTATATTAGGTAAATTAGTTCACAAGGGCAAAAAAAGATACAGGTGATTTTTGAATTAGCTACCTAAGATAAAAGAAGAGAAAAAGAAAGGAAAGCAAGAAGACATTAAGTTGAAAGATATTCTTCAACATTATTAACATCTTCCTAAAAGGAATTATTTTTTCAGGTTTCAGTAGGTTATTCCTGACCATGAGGAGTTCCTTAAATTCCAATTGTCTTATGGTCGAACATTTTATGCAATTGCTTTCTAGAAAAAGCATTGATTTTACTGTTTTGTATTAGATTTCTTGTTTTCTGATGTCTCCTTTTCGTCTAACTCAATTACATTGGTTACAGAATGGTGCATAACCTGTACATGTCAATCTCTGAGAGAAAAATTGGCAAGAAATGCTTCCTAATGAGCTATCTTCCTACACAACCATTCTGTCTTACTGTAAGCTGAAGGCCACAAGAGAACATTATGTGCTCTATGACCATGACAAATGAGAAAAAACTATCATGATCTCATCTCACAATTGGTGAAAGGAACAAATGACAAAGGAAGAGGGAACCCTTACCTGGCTCCTGTTAGCAGCTCAATTCTTCCGCTCCTGGAAGAGAGGACTTGGAACTGCAGCCTGAGGGATGACTGTTCTCTTCTCCTGCAACTACAGTGAACATGTCCTTGTACCAACACAACAATCTCCCTACAACCCAACCTGGAGGCAGAGGGAGGATTTAAGATTCTCTTCACAGACTCCCAGCAGAGTATTCTAATGGGTGCTCATGGCATGCCAAACAAATCCCAGTCCCTTGGCCAGTGCAGTTTAGGCATATGAAGGTGAAAGATGGCCCAGGCAGTGCCAACAAATGATAGTATTATAATATGAAGAAGACCCACTTGTTCTATATGTTATTTTCCAAAATTATGGAGCACTACTCCAAAGAATCATTGGACAGACAGCTACACCTGCCATTGTAGATCACATGTGCCAAAGAATTTTATTATCATGACAAGTTGTCTCACCATATACCACCTATAAGTTCCATCAATACCTCTCCATACCAACATTTTCTGTGCTGATTTGTGAAACAGATAAGAGAAGTAGATACTTCTTTGGACAGATGTGGGTCTCTGTAATCTACATATTCTCTTGTGACTTGTAGAAGATCTATATGTTTATGCTACATGAAGCATTCATACATAAAGTAAGCTGAGCAGACACAGAATGATTAGTATTCACATGTATATATAATTGTCTTGCCGGTTGTGGCTGCTACAACCATTAGCTGGATCTGTCCTGGATGTTTGCAGATATATGTGGTGGGTGAGCCAAGAACATATTAGTTGATCACATCATGTGTGCCATCAAATAGTCCTCAATATTAATTCTCATCCAGTGGGTCCTCTCATGTACTTTGTTACTTCAATCATCAGCACCTTAATCCTCATCTACATGACTACTATGTGATCCCTTGAATTGATTCCACCAGGATGATGTAATGCTGGTCCTGGGATCTACTTGATGCCAGAACGAGAGAAATTGCTTGCCATAGAATATATATGTATATATATATATGCTAATTATTGTTTTTGAGTGTTTAGCATTGCTTGAAACCTCCTGTGACTTGTAATGAATGACAAGGACCTCAAGAGATAAAGAATGGACATGGCAGGTCATCGAGCCTAGGAATGACCTTCCATTGGCTGCATATGGATCTGCAAGCACAAACCTTGGATCATGCCGGGGCAGATGCATCCTCCCGAAGGTCTTAACTACCTAGTAAGCATCACTTGTTCCAAGGGATGACACATGGGGAGGTGTGCATTATTGCCCCAATGATACAAAAGCCTCTTTCCTTTTCTTTGGGGAGGAGGAAAGCTCTGCTTCTGTCCCTGCTGTACTGACAGTGCCTCCTCCTAAACAATCCAATTGTAGGTGGAAATGGATGTATACAGAGCACATGGAAACTAACAAAGCTCCAAACAAAAAGCTATGAGCACAGTGGATAGGGATACAGATGTCGGGGTTGGGTGGTCTACCAAGAAAGGATCACAAGTGGGGGGTCATGTGGATGAAGTCTTCTTTTCTTGTTCCTCTCAGTGCACTGTATCATTCCATGTTTTCCCCATCTCACAGCCCTTCCTTTGGTTGTGTGTGCTAAAGCCAGGGAGAGACAAGGAGGGCCTACAGGGGAGCACGCGTTGCCGGGATGGGTAGGCACAGCCATATGAGGAAGATGACCCAAGAGAGAGAATATAGTAGGAACTAGGAAGAATGCATGAGCTCAGCACCCAAATAGCAGAAGCCATTGCTTTCTCAGTAGGCTGATGAAAGACTAGGAAAGTGAGGAGCAGTTCTGTTGAATGCCAACGTTGTCAGATATATGACAACGTACCTGTGTCCTTTAATGTTCTTGGTTGTGTTCTGCAGGAATGAGAAGAAAAAAAAGATTGTTCTTACTTAGTGAGGTCTTTGTTTATGTAAGTTGAAGTGCAGCTGAGATTCTCATATGTTGCAACTTGTTTGATTTGATTGTTTTCTATTTGTTAGTGGAGACAAATTTTATCGAAAACAAATTAAATCAAACTTGTTTTTAAATTTTATCGAAAATTACTTGATACAAATTTTTAGGAGAATGAACTTCCGAATCAAACGACTTCCAATCTTAAATATGATAAGTTCCTTTCGATACCCAAATCAATTGATAAACGATATGAGTAAATATGAAAAAAGAATGATCTATATTTATAACTTGAGATCCGTGACTACTTATGATAAAAAAAAATATTCATAGAATTATGATGATTCATATTTTCTTACAATTTATATAGTGATAATGTACGATAAAATTATCATCCACATGTCAAGTCGTAATCAGACGAAGAATATTATTAATATCAGTACTTTTTTGTTTAGCATGTAAACAAACAACTCAAAATTGCTACACTCATAAATTTAGGCAATTGTCTGATAGTTACATCTTCCTCTTATACAAAGGAAGTGAGATTTCCCAACTGACTCTTCTACTTTTTGAGGGAGAAGAACCTAAATGGAGTTGAGCATCACTGACCTACTTGTTAAGTTGCAAACAATTGTCCAGATTTAATGAAGGCACCAACTTTTCCTTGACAGCTTGGCCAAGTGTTCATTTGGTAGACAAGATTTATCCCTTGCATCAGAGGTTAAGAATCTAGCGCTGACCTCATCACTCCACCAAGCTCATGTTGGTAGGGTGGTAGAATCCACAAAGAAAAACAACTTTGGAGGTGACAGTGATGGGATATTGTAGTGGTAGTAAAGAGGTAGGATGATTGATTCTGCTGCTGGATGATGGGAAAGATCACTGAGCTGTTCTTGCTGTGTTTGTGTGTTTGATGAAGACAAGGAGATCGCTTGACACCATCAAAAGCAGCATATCTATAGCTTGATGACAATAGCAGCAACAAATACAGATGACTCTATTCGACATATCTATCCATCATTTTCAAGTCTCTTTAGGTTGACCTGTCTGCTGCTCACATCATTCTTGGTTGAAACGATGCATGAATTCAATTGCCATTCCATCTTGTCTACTAAGAACAAATGCTTAAGCTGTTCTTCCTGGTTGAGAGTCGAAGCATATATATCCTACAATTTCAGGTCTTGTAACTTTTCTGAGAAAAAAACAATGTTAGTAAATAGAATCTGTCAGCCAATCCACATGCCAAGATAGATCAAAATGTGTCAACAACTACTTTATCAAGCTTAGAAAGAGATGCTTCACTTTGCCTAATCTAAAGCTCTAATAGAAATCTGAAAAGAATCACTCAGGTTTCTTATAGCTGAAGAATCCACAAGTGATTAGGTCAACTCCCTCTTTGTACCAGTTTTCTTGTGATTATGAATGCTTGTGGAACAGACAATGAGCTAAAGTGGTAAGGATGCTTTACCTGTTCATCACATCTGTACTTTTGCCATGCTTCATTGTCCCCTTAGCTGCACAGATGGAGTCATAACTAAGGTAGGTAAAGATAGCAGAATCTGAAGGAGATGGACTTGCTGTTTCCTCCACCACCTGATATGCTCACTAGACTGGTCGTTGTCTCATATTGCTTCCATTCATTACACCCCACAGCTTTACAGGACATGCTCTCTTGTGGATCGAAAAGATGAGGTCAACTTGGCGAAGTGGGAGAGGATAAATATGATGTCTTGCATTTGCGCCACATTGGGTGTTTAAATCGGTTCAAATCAAATCGGATAATTATACCTAATCAATTTTCGATTTAATTAAAATAAAATAAGTTAAATTGGAATCACTTAAGACTTGTCATATCAAATCGATTGAAGATTAGTTAATTTAATTTGATTAACTGATTTATAATTTTAAATAATTTAAAAAATATATATATATACTTCAAATGAATCGATCCGATTCGGTGAAAGTATTAGATTCAATTGAATCCAACCAGAATCTATCGTCCCATTAAAAAAGTCAAATCAGCTCCAATAGGAAAGATCATAATCTAACCTCATCACTGGTCATTAGAGAGAGTATTTGATATTTTGTATAAAAATTTAAATATATAGAAATTTTTTTAACTTATTAAATAAAAATCTCCACCAAAATAGTTGTATGTAATTAGAAGGACTAAAATTTAGACAGAAATAATATTTAGTAGAAAGATTCTTAGGGGATTCGGCCCTCCAATCCATGGGCTTATTATGGAGTCAGCCCATGGGCTTTGGAAAGCGTCTATATGCACTCCAAGAACTCAAACCGTCCGATCACGAAATGACGGCAGCGATCGTTGGCTTTCACTATGGAGTCGACCAATTGCTAGGGTTTCTAGTGGCGCTATAAAAGCTTGGACCCGTCCCTCGACGCGTTGTTATTGGTCGAGGGATTTGAGGCGATCGGGCGAGAGCGCGGCGCGGGGCGGGCAGAGAGATGGGGCACTCGAACGTCTGGAACTCGCACCCCAAGAACTATGGACCTGGTTCTCGTGTTTGGTGAGCGATATCGGCCTTTTCTTCGTTGAATTTGGTGCTTTCGGTGATACCTTTATCTTGTGTGTCAAGGGTTCTACGGATTTCGTTTTGCCTATGTTTGATGTAGTTTCTGGAACTAGTTCGATTAAAGATGAAATCTTTCAGGGGAATTAAAGAACCTTCACTCACTCTCTTTGGTTAAGATCTTGATTGCGGCTGGAAAATAAGTATGCTATAACTTATTTTCTTACGAATTTAATGAAATTCGATGGAGCTTTGTAATTTATAACCTGAATTTTGTTAGCGGTAGATGTTCTTGTCATCCTTGTTCTCGAAAACTAATCTACCTGTTGTTGCCATAACCATAGAACACATTGAGGAGTTAGAATTAACATCCACATATCTATGTGTTCCAGAGGGCATACACTGGATAGCTTCGGACTTGTATTAGGCGATCTGATTCCTTTTTAGCCTTGTAAATGAAAGATGTCGTTTTGTATGATCTGCTGCTTTTTTATCATGGTGTGAACTAGCCTTTCTTTTCCAGCCGAGTTTGTGGGAACCCCCATGGACTGATCAGGAAGTATGGACTTATGTGTTGCAGACAGTGCTTCCGCAGCAACGCCAAAGAAATTGGCTTTATTAAGGTAGATTTATGCTTCTTCATTGATCAATGAATGTAGTTGGTTATTGTTGCTTCTAGCTTGTCTTTTGTCTTTTGTAAATACGTTAGTTTATTGGTGAAAGATATTTTCCTGTTTGAATTTATTGGAGGAAGACATTCATTTAGTCGACAGGATTTTGTTGAGTATATATATTATTTCTTTCTTTGAAGCAAAATTCATTTAGTTAATAGTTTGGTTAGTTTTGGCAATTATTTTGCATGCCTTATAAGATATTTCATCACATTAAAAAGCTATAAGATCGTTTGCAGAAAATGCTATAGATTACTGGATGCACTACATTGTAACAGTTATGCTTCTGCAGATCTTTTAAGTGTAACTGACTTTGACAAAGGTTTCTATTAGGCTAATTCTCTTGATACTAATCATTTGATTCTGTGATGATTTTGCAGCTGCTGTTATTTTCTGCCTCTGCGTTTTTCCTTCTTATTATTGCTGTTCTTCTAGAAGCTTTTGTCTTCCATTTTTCTTTATCAAAGATTGTTTACTTTTCTCCTTTTTGTAAGTTTAGATATTAACTTAGAATTACTTCTATGTTTGTGCTTGTTCTTGTTGCACTTAATGTCGTTTGATTTTGGCTTTCTAGACTTGAATTTTGTAGAATGGTCTAGGATGATGATTTTGAAAAGAAGTTTGATGTCTTTCAAAATGTTGTCTTACCATCATGAGTGTACGGTACCAGCTATTGAATCACTTTTCAAGGAACCCATTAGTAAACAAACTTAAAGAGTAGCAAGTGAATCTTTGAAAGATCTATTTTCTGTTCGTTTGTGTTTCTGCTTTTTTTACCCATTAGTAGTTGGCAAGACGTAATATAGCATGATGATGAAGGGATTAGCAGTGCTATATTCAGTCATATGTTTTCCACCTTGATTGATTGTTGAAGCAATCTGTATCCCCCAAAGGTGAACCTTAGCGTAGTCATGCTTGTAGAGGGTGATGAATTATTCTGGTTATTCAACATAAGAACCCTTTTTTTCCCATTCATTCCAAGCATCTAGGCCCTGCAGATGACAGTTACCAAAAAGAGAGAACATTGTTTGTCACGATCCGAGCCTGATGGGCTAACTAGCTTATCAACTTCGTTTGGTCTAAACCACTGATTAAAATGCTTAAGTTGAAGTTGATAGTAGTACACTCATCAGACCCTTATAAACCAATCTTAATATTGCCCACTTTCGATGTGGGACTAATCAGGGGTGTTACAATCACCCCCACTCAAAGGCTTGACGTCCTCGTCAAGGCCCAACATAACCCAGAGTAGGCCCTAGCATAGTGTATGTGAGGCGTAGCCCAGTGGCGGCTCTACGCTGTGACGAGTCTTCTGACTCCGTCTACGAGTAGCCTTTTCCTACTCGAGCCCCCTTACCATACCCAAATGCTAGGTCGGCTCTGATACTATAAAAAGATGTCACATCTTGGATTTTTTTTTTCATATTTTTTCACACATTCAGGCCAAGTAGATAAACATCATTTTATTCATCATTCATAAACATTTATTATAATTCATTTATTCATCAAATCACAAATAAAAAAATAAACATAGTAATGTTAATTTCAAGAATCATCTAAGCGGCTCTACCTAGCGGTAGAGGAAGGTTCGCTCTCCATTGGAATCCGATTTAGTGCTAGAGGGAGGTTGTTTTTAAAATAAAAAACAAAGAAAATTCAGCAACGTTGAGTAGGAATCCTATAAGTTAACTCAAAATGAATATATGATCAAAATTCAATCATCCCATTGGCGTATATCAAACACTCAAAGGAGCACTCCCTCAACAACGGATGGAGATGCTTTATCCTACGGGATGAGTTTGTGTTCTCCCAATAGCAGATGGAGGTAAACTCATATCGCACTCCCAACAACGAATGGAGTGGTGTCCCACACTCGCCAAAGTGGGGACACGTTCCTCCCAATAGCGGATGGAGGAACCGTTAAGCTGCCACGTCTGACGGCCCGCTAATTCTCGAAGGGAATCGTCCTACCTGCTCTCGGCAGGGAAATAACATAATCTCACACTGGTCATGTTCATATCGGGATGAAATAACACATTTAAAACATCTCTTTCAAATATCATCAAATAATATAAATTAGTCCTCAATTGACTTGAACCCTAGTTCAATCAAGCCAATTGATCTCAATTTACTAGAACCTAATTAAACTGATCTTTAATCTTCATTTGACTGATTTGGAATCAACTAGTATAATTTGGGCTAGATTAAGTTCATTTTAGGTTAAACTGATTTGAATAAGTCAATCAATTCGGAATCATCCTGAATCGATCTAGACTAATCAAGCCTAGTTTAGTTCAATCAATATTTGTGCTCAAATTCAACAACAATATTGGGTTGGATTGGGCTAGTCCATCTATTGGTCATGTGCATTACACATGACTAGGCATGCATCACACAAAGCTGGCCCAGCCCTGGCCCATGGACTGGTCATGTGCATCGCACGTGACCACCCATGATGGTTGAGCTGGGTTAGCCTACGAGTCAAGGCCTGACTCGTGGGTTGGGCCTAGCCTACGGGCTGGGCCTGGTTTACTGACTGGGCTTGACCAGTGGGTTATGGTCTAACCTATGGGTTGGGCCTGGCCTATAAGCAATTTCAATCCAATTAATATCCAATTTCATACCACGACATATATTCATTAACAATATAAACAAAAACATAATAACACATTAAAAGATAGATAAAGAGATAAGCTTTAATAAAAGGAAATAACATTTTAAATTTGAATAGAAATCATAATATTATCTATCTTTT